GGCTGGGGATTTAGCCCAGTGGTTCCAGTGCCTGTTTTGCAAGAACAAGGACCCGAGTTCGATCCCTGGTACCAAAAAAACCAAACCAAAACAAAACAAAAAAAGACAAAGGAACTTTTGCATGGTGACATGTCTTAATGGAAAAGCTTGAATAGTCAGAGAGGAAATGCCAATCTGTTTATGTTTACTCCTCTGTTTGAGGGTAAGGCAATCTTTGTACATCTGTTACTGTAACATGGAGTATGAGGGCTGTATTTACTGGTGTCTCTTTAGAACCCAATTGACAAAAGGCTATGCTATCCCTTCCCTGGGGGACCTCTGCTTTCTTGCTTCTTAGTGGCATTATTTGAGAATTATTCATGACTATGTGAATATAGTTTTGAAGATTGTTTATTTGGATGCATTTCTTAACTTTCTTTTTGAATAGGCACATAAATGATCAGTAGCTCTGCCTAGATGCTAGGAAATCCCTTAAGACACAGAATGCTTTCATAAAGTGTTTACAGTTACAGAGAGAGTTTTCTGCAAGGGAGGAAATCTTTTCCAGTTTTTTAGGTTTCTGTAAATAAATGAATTGTGTGATTTTAAAATCTTATGATGGAAAATATGTTTAAGAAACATTAGTACATGCAGAGGCGAGGACTGCATAAAAGAGCTGTAGTACATTTAATGCCCTAGTTAAATGTATTGCACAAGACCTGTTTTCTGGAGCTGGATAAACAGAACATCTTTCTCTTTCTATTCTAAGCTTCTATCCCCCGCCTTCCCAAGCCACTTCAATAGCACAATAAATGGAAATCTTATTTCCTGCTTCTGCAGACCTATTTACCTGAATGTCTGAGCTCACCCTTGCCTTTCTCAGGTCTACACTTTCTGTAATAGGCTTTTACTTTCAAGTTCCTGCCTTCATTGCCCTCATTCAGAAAGCCTTCTCTAATCCTGCACTCCATGTACTTTAATCTGTAATGTTGGACTTCACCATTCTACGTGACCACCTTTAAACATTCATCGCTCAGATTCACATTTTCTTCTGCTGTGAGTTTAAATCCTTTTTCATTGTCTGTAATACTGGAAGAAAAAAGGTTAAAGTTTCTTTTATGAAAAATATTTCTGCCAATTTAAAATGCCTTTTTGGATGGCTTATTCTCTTCAGTTTCATTATCTTTGCAAACTGTGACTTTTGATTCTTTCACTTCTTTTGTGTGTATATTTTGATTTTTAATAAGAATCTTGTGAAAGTCTGCTTGTCCCTGTCTTCTTTCTGAACTTTTCTTTTTGGAATTTGGGATATTGGTGAGTTAAAGTAGTTGTATATATAGGAATGTGTGTGTGTGTGTGTGTACACGCACATGTGTATATGTTTGAATAAGTGAATAATACTGTATGTAATTTGCAAAGCCTAAAATATTTACTGTCAGGATTCTTAAAGCAGAAGTGTGTTTATTTTTATTTGTATATTTCACAAATTTAGAATGTGTCTCATTTGGGGATCTCTGTTTCCCCAGAATTCTTAAATGGATAGGATATTAATATGCTAGGGCCTATGCTAGCTGGTTGGGGGTAATTTCTGGCCACTGTCCCTTCTGGTTGATAATCAGGCCCCAGCTTGTTATCTATGACATAGTGGGATTGGACTGGATGCTCTCTCAGAAGAAAATTTGTTGGGGTAGATGTAGCCATCTATGGTGTATAAAATGCTCCATGGGAAACACCTGCCTAAAATCAGGAGGAGGCCTGGTTAATCACTGTCCATTGATAGCGTGGTTTTCATATCCTGGTGAGGATTCATTGTCCTGCTAGCCTGGGCATTTCTGCTGCAGCAACAGGAAGAGTGATTGAAGTGTGCTTCCTATTACTTAATTGAGGTGGGGAATAAAATAGGTCGAAGTTAAAAGAAAACAACATCTATTCAAGACTGAAAGAAATGCACCAACCACGCTGGTTGTTGCTGTGAAATGTCTTTAATTCCTCTTAAACCTCTTTAAACATCTGCTGAGGAATGTTAGATCAACCTGAGAATATCTGGTGTCAGTTTGCCCAGAACCAGCATCGCATTGTTACTGTGGATGCCCCTAAGAGATGTTCACTTTCTGCCTCTGGCATCAAGGGATGCTCTGGGCTTTCCTTGCCCTTAACTTCTTGCCCTTCTGCAGTTAAAGTTAAAGCTGCAGGCTCCAGCGTGCTGTCTCCAGCTTCTGAACTGCTGCATCACCCACTTTGTGCTTTGTGCCTCCTCTTCATCCATAAAACTCTCCCTGCTTTGTGCCTAATAAAAGGAAGCTGGAAATTTAACTGTTTTTGGAAAACCAAAGAGAACAACATGTTTGGGACAGATATAATAGTGAGAAGGCAAAATCAAGTTGAGATAGGAAGCTCTTCCCCCAAATCCCATCTCTAAGTCCCATTTTTATTGCATCCTGCATAAAATTAAAGTGCCAGAGACCAGCTGCTGCTCCAAAGGCTGAAGGTCCTCATGGCTACAGAATGATAATGAAAACATTTGCTTTGCTTGTTATAAACAAAGTTTATGGGTAGAATTTGTAATTTGAAAATGTTTTAAATCCTTAACCTTCAAACCCTAATTTCTTTTGTACTGTGTTGGAGAACTCTACATATCTGGGAAAAGAGACCCTTTGTCAGTAATGAGCTTTATGTTTTAAATTTCTGGTGGTGTTATATGTACTTCTCCCTTCTTTTGTATTTTCAACCACAAAAGAAGTCAGAGTTTTATTTATATATAGGTCAGAAATTCTTCTGAGAATAGATAAGGAGACAATAGATAAGGAGACACTGTCTTGTGGTCCATCACACCATCCTGCAGTCATTTGACAACCCAGGTCTGTGACTTAGATAAGAAGACAGCAAAGTAGTTCTCTTCAAACACAGTGCCACCTTGTGAAGCTTCCCCCACATCCTGATGTGTAATGCCTGGTTCTGTGCACTGTACCTCAGCTCTCCAAGTTGTTCTCTGTCCTCTAGTGTTTGCTCTTGACTTTGTTATTGCAGTGTAGTACCTGCTTGCATTCCATTCCATTCCATTTCTCTCTCTCTCTCTCTCTCTCTCTCTCTCTCTCTCTCTCTCTCTCTCTCTCCCTCTCCCTCTCTCTCCGTCTCTGTCTCTGTCTCTCTGTCTCTGTCTCTCGATAGAGTCTTGCTAGACTGGCCTCACATAGCTGGGATTACAGGTATGTGCCACATTGATCTCTTCTCTTCGTGTTCTTTGCAGGAGAGTCAGGTCATGGTGGGAACTGGTCATGAGAACAAGGTTTTGGGCCAGAGAAAGCAGCTATCCTTCTGTTTTCATGTATCTCTTGTAAGCAGTGGGTATCCAGGAGGTCTGTTTCATTGCCAAAGGAGGCAGTCAGGAAGCTTCATGCACTGGTACTGTCAGCAAAATCTCAGACTGGCGCCTGTGGTCCTGGGAGTTGGTGACAGTGTTGTCTTATAGAGTGGGTGAAGGCTAGAGAGGTTTGAGGGAGGAGACTGTTCATATTTACATAGACTATATTAACTCTGCCTGCTTCTCTCCCTTGGGGATTAAACTCTGTCTTGGGCATTTACAATGAGTATTCTTATTTCTGTAATCCAGTGAAAGTTTTTTAGTAATTCTGGCTGTTTATTCAAAGGCCAGTCATTTGGGCAATTGCTGATAAATGTCTTAGTTTCCCAAGTCTGTCAGAACTCCTTGAAGCATGTTTGGCCCAGGTAAAACAAATTATGTTTCTGACTTTGCCAGTTTACCCATTGCAGACCTTCATGCTTTTCTGTTCACAGCTCTGCTGGTTTTGAGTTGCCTTTGAAAATGGGGCATGAGCATGTCCCCCCAGTCTGTAGCTGTGGTGACTCTCCTTCTCCACAACTCCTAACACAAAAAAAAAGCAGTGATGCTGTTTGGAACCTGATAGGTTTGGGTCACATTCCTTTTTGACCCATGTGCCCAAAGATCTGAAAAAAATGAGTTCCCGCCCATCCAGACAGCTTTCCTTTTTCTTTTTTTCGAAGCTGATACTTGACTTTTTGGAGTGAGGAAAGCCTGACAAGGACCATTTAGATGGTGTTTGTCAGAGACTGGTTTTGGTTGTAGAAAGCTTAATGCATAACTTTCGAATTCTTCTGTCTATAATTTAGAGCTTAACAATGCTTTGTAATCTGGAGGGTGATGATTTAGCTCTCCTTATACTTCCTCAGTTGCTTCTTGCTACATACTAAGTGAGGAAATGTGATTGTGGGGAGGAGCAGTAGGAGGAAAGCTTGTTACCTGAGTACTCAGTGTTAACTGTGTTGGAGGGGGTGGCTGGTCGGGGTCAAGATACTCCTTCTACGCTGTAATTGCATCGTTTCTATTTTTGGAGAATCTGCCTACTCTAGATTATTTAATTTCATAATAGTAAGCTTTTTGTCCCCAAGGTTATTTAGGGGTCAAGTAAACTGGAAATCTGCCCACTAAGTGAGTCATGGTTCCAGTCCAGTGATGGTTCGGGCTGGTTGAGGGTTAAGAGGGTGGGTCCTGTTTTATGGGACATATGGAGTACAGGGCATGGGAGAACAGAGGAACAGTGTTGAGGAGGAGCTTGGCCAGACCCTCCCCTGTTGGAGATGAGCAGTAGGGTGTCTGGCAGTTCGGGAGCATCTCCTGGCTTAGAATTTGTTCCACTGGTACGCATAGAAGACCAATTATCCCCTCCCCCAAGAACTCAAAGCTGCTTGTGGGTCATTTGTACTTACTTTTGGTCTAATCTCATGAGTTTGTAGACCTATTATTATGAGCCAAACCAGATCAGTTGGGTGGTACAGAAAGCGGTCAGGGGCATAATTCACTGATGCTTGAACTTTTCTCCACAGAACAACAACAAAAAATGAAGAGCAAGGGGGAAAAATCATACAAAAGAAATTCAGTATATCTAATATGTGAGAATTTCCTAAGAATATTGTCCTTGGGAAATAAGTTTACATCAATTTGTAATGGATGGTATGTCTAAAGTATTATCTTTCCACTCCAGGAAGTGACTTTGGTCTGGAGACTTCTTCAGTCCTGCCCCCTGGTCATGCTGGTGACTCTCCTATGAGCAGTATTCCTGTAGCAGAAGATAGCTATCGGATGAGCTTGGCCAAAGGTGTCTCAATGTCTCTGCCTTCATCACCCTTGCTGCCTCGACAATCTAACCTGGTGCAGTCAAGATCAAACAAAAAATCCCCAGGTAAACAAGCAACATAGTGGTAAAACCAGATGAGCTGTCTTGGTTAGATAAGTAATGCATGTGTTGAAATTCAGCAAAATGAATGCGAATGCCTGTAAGATGTTTTTTCTTTGTTAAGACAATCTGTTTTTGAGACAGTCTTATTATACAGTCCACGCTGGCCTGGCCTTGAATGTGTGATTTTCTTGCCCCAATGCTGGGATTATAGATGTGAGCCACCATGCCAAGTAGGAATTTCTTTTAAACGTATGGTTTTTATGGGGCTGGGGATTTAGCTCAGCGGTTCGGTGGCCTGCCTTGCAAGCGCAAGGACCCGAGTTCGATCCCCGGTACCAAAAAAAAAAAAAAAGTATGGTTTTTAAATAGACTTGTCTCTGTAGTTTGACTTTTATGTATATTGTTTGGATTGCTCAGGCTCCACTTTTCAAATTCAAAATCTTGTTATTCATACTTGTAATTTACACTTGCTATCCTACCATTAGTTTTGTTGTTTTCTTGTTGATGAATTAAGTATGTGAGCTAAACTCTCATAAAGTATGTTTAAGCATTATGGATGTAGGTGAGTGTCATTTGACAACAATCTGTTCATCATCATCAAAAATGTACTGATATATTTTACTCGGTTACATTACCCCATATTTGAATAGCTATAAAATTTAATTGCTTGTGAAAACTCAGACTTGTAAAGGGACTTGTGGATTACTTGTGTGCTTAACTTTGAGAGATTATAATTCAGATGTAAGGAAAGCCTCTTCCAAATGCTCATGCCTGGAATTATAATAGTTTTTGATATTCTTTTAGGTTTGCTGAGTATTTGCTTATAAAAGGTAGGAAAATTGGGGGCTTTATTGATCCTGTGCCAATATAAAAATTCTTCTTAACTACGTATAAACATATTCAGGACTCATCTAACATGTGCCATCAGGCTGTGAAATTAGTTTGTTTTCTTCAATATTTGTATTTCTTGAAATGGCATACCTTCTTTTTGAATCACTAAGTGGATACTTGAGGTTCTTGTGGGGATAAAATTAGGGCAAACCTTAAGGCTTTAAATTTTAGAAATGGTGTTATGAATTTGGTGAGTGTCAAATCTTTTATTGTTCTATAATTTTCTTATTTTGGACTACATTGTTTACAGTCCAGTCATTAGCTGGAACTTGGAAACCTTTTTGGTATGAAGTGATTTCCTGTGCCAAGGAATTTGACCTGTTTATCAGTATTTGGGGAAATTCCTGGAATGTCCTTGCTTTCCTCTTTGCCCTCCCTGCTGCTATATCTCTAAGTCAGATGTCTTCCTCTCTTTAAATCGTGGTTCCCACGCTGCCTCTCTTGCTAGGTTACCCTGGTTGGGATTACTCTACTTTCTAAGAACTATGCACGCATCTTACTTTTTCTGTATTATTAGCTAAGTCATTTCCCCCTTTTCACTACCAAACTTTAGACAGACTCCTGAACCTTCTCCCAGGCTCCTTTGTGCATTCCCTTCTAAAATCCACTTTCAGCAAAGACACCTACAAAGTTACTTTAGCAAGAGCCTAACTGTCCCCAAATCTGACCAGTTTCCTCATCCTGTACCATCCCCAGTGACGCCTGATCACCCTGCCCCATCTTTAGCAAGAATCCTGTTTATCAAAGTCCCCCTGCCCTTTACTCCTGAAGTTTCTTCTTTGTAATTTTTCATTTACTGACTCCCAACTTGCTGCCTGGCTGTAAATTCCGCCTTGGCCATGCTTTATTCAGAGTTGAGCCTAATCGCTCTCCCCAGCTGCAAAATTATACTGAAATGGTCCCAGCATCTACACCCCAATGAAGTGTGAGTTGCTATGCTTTGAATAGTTTATTCTTCCACAGTACACGTGTGCTTTCTGTATCTGATTGTAGAGCACAGGCAGTTTGTCTTATCTAAGTATACTTTATCTATGTAAAACCGAGATAATTCTGAGAACCTATCTGTAACCTTAAGGGACCTCAGTTAAAGATAATGTCACCTGCTGAGATTTGACATTTTGGACAAACTTTCCTATCATCTGTGCTATTACAAATGAATTGACATTGTTTGAGCCTTAGGACATGGAAACACCTGAGAGACTCCAGGGAATACTGCGATTCAGATATAATTTCATTATTAATGACAAATTCAGACTCACTCTGTTTTTGTGGGATTTTGGATAGCATCGAATGGCTTGGCAAGCCTGGGAAGGGTGGCTGTCTAGAGTGGTTTCATGTGGGCTTTAGGAATAAGGACAGAGAAATCCTGAGGCTTATGTCCTTATGTTCCTGGACGAACATTAGATATTTTTGCTTTTGAGAAAGCATCCTAAAGTTTTTATCTATGGAAGTGAAATTTATTTCTGCTAAATTCTTTGACCTTTTGAATAGAAGGGAGTAGTAGTTCTGCTATCATTCAACCTTTATTGGATTGAAGAAAACATCTTCCAACTTAGATGTTTTTAATGCAAATGGTAATGAAACAAACTAAGCAGATATGTCTGATAGAGCAGTTCTGTGTGCTGCTCAAATTTGTGCCTCAAATTAGTGTCTCACAGTGATGATTTGGCTTCATTACCTAGGTAATTTTAATTTGAAAAGAACAGTTAAGGGCAAAAAAAATGCTTGTTTAAAAATGACAATGACTCAGACTACATTAAATGATGAAAATATTTTTCTACAGTCTCTAACACATAGATTTCTGCTTAAACTGTGTTTAGAGCCCTAACATTCTACCTGCCTGTTTAAAAAAATGTTGACATATGGCTCTGAATGTGCACTGGATTTAAAAATATCCTTCTATTTTAGTAGCTAGCACTGTATTAGTATACAGTATGTCTGCAGCTCCCAGAAGTCATTGAGCCACTCTTGCCCCCTAGACCTCCTCTCCCTCACTAGAGTGGGCAGTACTTCAGGTCCTGTCAGTCAGACCCACGTGTGAAAGTCAGTACCCATAAGTTTTGTTCTGATTTGGAAGCTTATACCCCTTTCTCTCTCTTCCATTTAAGAAGGTACTTTAAAAAAAAAAAAAACCCACCAAACCTGTTTTACTTGTTTGGAAAGAAACTCTTCACTAATTTTTGCTAATCAAGAAACTGTCAAGAGTTTGAAACTGTTATCCTAGAGAGGGTAAAATGCTATAAACCCCTGTATAGTGAAAATTTCTTTTAATATAATTGGAGATTAGGCCCTGCACCTTGGAAATCAGGGCAAGAGATGATACCATTAACCTTGCATTAATGTGACCCTGCATTTTACATTATTTTTATACATCCTACTTTACATCAAGAGTTATTTTTATTTACCCATCTGCCACCTTCCTTCATTTATATGTATTTTTCCCTGCTGCTGGTTACAAGATTCTGTTTTCTGAGTATTTGAAAAATTTTGGTGGTTTTCTAAATGGAAAATCCATTTTCTGGTAGTGAAAGCAAGGATCAGCATACATTAAAATAGTTTTGTGGCTGTGGCAAGCCTTTTGGATTGACTTCATCAATATTTGTAATGTATTCTTTTGCCTTCCAGAGAGGAGAAAAGTTTATTTTCTATGGCCTATTTATTAGTAATATCATTTATATTTTCAATAAATATATATATTTTATATTTGCATTCTTTTTCCTGAGTTACTTTGGGCTTATTATGAAATAATCAGAAAGTTCAGGTATGAATGAGAAGCAGCTTTTGAAATACAGACACGGGTACAACCGAAAATGGCAACTACTGAATAATAAAGGTTGAGAATCCCAACTGTGAAAATATGAAATTCTCCATAATCTGAAACTTCTTGAGCACTGACATAAACTCAAGTGGAAAATTTCACACTTCATGTCATGTAATGGGTCTTAGTTAAAACATAGTTACACTAAAAATATAGTATAAAATTGCCTTCAGGCTATGTATAATATGAAACATAAGTAAATCTCATGTTTAGACTTGAACCTCATGTTCTTGGTATCTCATTATATGTACAAATATTCTAAAATCCAAAACACTTTTGGGTCCAAGCATCCCTGATAAGATCACTCACAGTACAGTGGATCCTTGAGTTATGACTGACCTGACATACAAACAATTTGGGTTATGACTGGAATTTTTGTTTTAACTTATGACCACCATCTTGAGTTGCAACCCAAATGCCAGCTGTTTATGCTTCCAGATGGTCTCAGATACAGATTCAACCCTTAGAGAGTTCTGGAAGGAGCATTAAAACGTCCTTTCCTCTATGAAGTTGATTGAGGAATCCTGGGCGGATGTCTGTCTAGGAACTGTCTGAGAACTGCCTGTATATAGGAGAGAGACTTTGAAGGTTTTGGAAGGAGCCTGAGCCTCCACTTAACCAATTTAAGTTACAACCACCCCTCCGGAATGAATTGAGCTTGTAAACCAAGGCTCTACTGTATTTCGCCTTTCTCCTTGGACTGGCTTGTGTGGGGAGACTGGAGAGTGCCAGCCATTCCTACTTCTGCCCAGTTCCAGTTCCCGCTCACAGTTGACATCATCACTGATGCAGCAGTTTTGAAAGCCCCTGTTACATAGGTATGGTGGTACAAGCCTTCAATCCCAGCACTCAGGAGGCTAAGGCATGAGGATAGAGTTCAAGGCCAGCCTGGGACACATAGCAAAACTCAGTCACAAATAAACAAGAAAACCCCTCTTCTTGTCTGTTTCTTTGAAGGAAAAACCTCAATGGACAGGCTGTGAAAAGGAAGTCATCTTGTCTGTTTGATTCTTGGACTATGAGTTAATGTCTGCCAAGGCATTGCTTCCTCCCAACCTTGGAAGAATATTTATTGTATAAAATTTTGAAATCCAATCATTGAGAATCACTGCCAGCATTTTTGGTACTGGGCATTGAACTCGGGACCTTGTGCTTGTGAGGCAGGCAGTGAATACTGCCAACATTTTTATACATATTTTCTAGTCGATTTCTAACAATCTATGTACTGAAACCTGAGACCATGTGATGTAACTCCTTTGTGTTCTGCCTTTTTTCCATTTCATATTACATCCTA